CCCCAAAACCCCAAAACCCCAAAACCCCAAAACCCCGGATCTCATCAGCCTGGTTGAAAAAGCATTATTGATCATTAAAAACTGGTAGGATTCAGGCTAAAATATATTTGTCAAATCTAAAATCTCTCTTTTGGATTTCAGTTGAATTGACTTAAGTTTGAAATTAGAATGAGCACTAATTCATATCTAAAACAATAATCTGTATAATTTCTGAGTTCCTAAAAATCGACCAAGTTTGTGCAAAAATATAGGGATTCGTGAAATTTTTAATATTCCATTGTTTCTACTTTTAAATCTCCATCCAACACTTTTTCTTGCACTCCTTTGATTGTTACCTTTGTGTCCAAAGTATAATACCTTCCGAATCCTTCTGGCTGTCCTACAAAATTATTATATTGATTACCTTCTGCAACCATATAGACATGGAAATGATTACCCTCTACCGGTACTGTTAAACCTTCTGGATGACCGAGTCTTCTAACGCTGGCATCAGGGAATTTCTTCCAAGCTTCTACCTTAACTCCATTTTCTTCTACACCAGAAAGACTCAGTTCTATTGGTCTTGTGCCAACAAAGAAAACTTCGTTTACGCAATAATTGTAGCGACCTACTGGCACCTGATCGTGAGAAGTCAAATTATCATATATAAAAATGGAGTACTCTCATAATTCATAAGGACACAAGATGTAGCGAGAGGCAAATCCATGATCTGGATCGAGCTCGTCACTTCAAATAGAATCCGTTTCATTATAACAAGGGAACTCATTATCGTCTTGTTCTCAGCAATAAGGTATTTGATATTCAAAGTTGCCTTTACAAACTCTGTGATCTTTCCTACGACACTCTTGGCAATCCAAAGAGGTATATATTGGAGTCATAGCTAATGCTAAGGATAACATTATTGCTAATATCAAGGAAAATATCAGTTTCATAATTTTATATTATAAAATCATTTTATTTTTAAACTTTTCAGGATTTTTGATTTTAAACGGGGTTTTGGGGTTTTGGGGTTTTGGGGTTTTGGGGTTTTGGGGTTTTGGGG